GTAGGAATATGAAAAACGTGTTTCACAACTTGTTTCTTATTTAGTTTTATGCGTCTTTCAAGATGGCGGTCCCTATATAGTAAATATCGTATTTATTTTATTATCACGTGTGCGCCAGCTGACTGTGGTTGATACATAGTTGGGTAGGGAGGTGCCCCGAGTGCTCAAAAGTGTGATCATTTTTATACCAGAATAGTGGCAAAATATATACCGATATTTATACCAAAGTACCATTTCTGTCATCACTGCCCTTACCAAAATTCATTAAACAAAATGTATACTTTTTGTGTGCAAAAAGTATACGAATTCCGAATAAATTTGTACATTTTATGTATATTTTTTTGTATACAATAAGTACCCTATATTTGGAACAGATTTGTATACAACAAGTATGCAAATACTATGCAAATAGTGTACAAAAAATGTACTTTTGTATACAAGAAGTATCCCATATTTGGAACAATTTTTTATACAAAAATTGTACAAAGCTCAATTCATAAAAAGGACATTTATTTAACAAAATTAAATTCAACTTCATTGTGTGTTTCATTTGCCCAAGTGTATGGTCATATTACACAACAGCATGCGTTTGTATTTATCTATACTTACTTAGATCACATTTTTACTCTAAAAGCAATAGTTAATAAATACCTGAAACAAAATGGTAAACTATATACATGCTTTGTAGATTTCCGCAAGGCTTTCGATACTGTTTGGAGGGATGGTTTATTTTATAAATTATTAAAGAACGGAATTGATGGGAAACTTTATCATTTAATTAAAAAACATGTATAACAATACTAAAACATGTATTCGCTTTGGCAAAAAAATATCTCCAATATTTAATACAAATAAGGGTGTGAGACAGGGATGTACTATGAGGCCAATGCTTTTTTTTATTAATCTTTATGTTAATGACTTGAATGACACATTAAAAGATTCAGTAAACCAGGTAACATTAAATAATTATAAAATGAACTCTCTATTTTATGCAGATGACCTAGTATTGATTTCAACAACACAATTAGGTTTGCAAAATGCATTAAATATCTGAATACTGCCACAAACGGAAACTCCAGGTAAATCTTAATAAAACCAAAGTTATGATTTTCAAAAAGGGAACAATGAGAAAGAGAGAGTTATTTCAATTCCAAGAACAAAATATAAGTTGTGTCAATTCTTATATTTATTTAGGTATAACTTTACAATCAAATGGAAAGTTCCAAGAAACAAGACAACGTTTAGCAGACAAAGCTACTAGAGCAATGTATGCACTGTTGAAAGCAATGCCAAGAGAGACTGACTGTAGAACATTTATGTACCTTTTCCAGATATGTATTAAACCAATTTTGTTATATGGATCAACAACTTGAGGTCATGACATACTAGACAATAATAGATGGGACAAAATACCAATTGAACAGATACATTTGAAATTCTTCAAAAAAATACTAGGTGTGAGTAAATTCTCCTCAAATGCAGCATGCAGAGCTGAACTTGGTAAATTTCCATTACTATTGTAGATATTCAGGAAAATCTTATTAAATACTGGTATCGTATTAGTGCCTTACCAGACGGTAATATTACAAAACAAGCCTTTGAAGAACAAAAACAACAAAATTTAAATTGGTTTACATCAATAAAAAACATGGTCTCCGAAAATATTACAAACTTGTCCTCGTCTGTCATACCTCAAATTTTACCACACAGTAAAATAAAAAAAAAACATACGAAAAAACATTCAACAAAGGTATGCAGAGTTCTGGAACGTATATAAAGTTTAAAGACTCGTATACTTTTGAACCATATTTGCTCTTATGTAATCTGAAACATAAAATCTTATTGACTCGTTTCAGAATAAGCATTCATGTATTAGAAATTGAGAAGGGTAGACATACCCAACCCAAAATACCTTTAGAAGACAGAATCTGTAAGCAATGTTCCCAGATCAAAATTGAAAATGAAGAACATTTCTTCATGGAATGTCTTAGGTACCAAATAGAAAGACAACAGCTATTTAATAATATCAATATTCCAGAAGAATTGAAAAGTGATGACCAGATATTTAAATATATGAGTTCAAGAGAAGACGTACTAATAAGACAAGTTGGTGAATACTTATACAAAATATTTGAAATCAGAAATAACAATAATTGACATTTTACTTTTGTTTTCTATGTATTGTACTTTATTACTAACCTTTTATTGCTGTTAACCAATGGAAATTATTTCTAAGATCCAATTCATTATTATTTATGATTTGTTTATGCTTACCTGACTGACTGGCACATTCATTTACATCTTATCTTGTATCTGTTTGACATATATGTCAGCCAAGGATGAACAACAAACTGATTGTTGTGAGAGAAATAATAATTTATTTCTTTGTGTTTTGCTCAACTAAAACTTGATATATAATGGGAAATTAAATTTTAATTTAGTTAAATTGATCAAGAAAAAGTTCATAAAAATTGGCAATAAAACATGTTAGGATCCAAAACAGGATAATTTTTAATATATGCAAATTAGGCAAACTCTAAACAACTCTCTTGGGTAATGTGTTATACACTCTTCTTATAATGACTGAACTATTTCATTAAACTGTAGTAAAAATATAATTTTACTGATATTCAAAAATATAGTTTAGTATTCCTGTAATTAATCTATTAAAAATGTTTTTATACTCTCTTATGAATTTAATTGAATATTAAATTCCATATTTTTGTACAGTTTATGTATACATATATTGTATTATTGGGCCTGGTTAAGTTTATTCAGATTCTAATTTTTGTACATTCTATGTATACATAAATAGTACTAATATTTGTCAAGATCCAAGTCAATAATTTGTACAATTAATGTATACATAAATTATACTTCATTCTGACATCAATCTAACATAAATTTGTGTGGTTACTCTTTATTTCTTAGTCATGATATTGTACATTTTATGTATATGTAAATTATAAAATATTTAGTCATTGAATCCTATGCAAAAAGTCTGTACATTTCTAGTATACAACAAATATACATTAATGAGTTTGTATAAAGTGTGTATACAAATAATGTACTGCTGTTTTCTTGTATGAATTTTGTATACACATAATGTACGTAATTTAAAAAAAAGTATACGTTTTGTACAGAATATGTATACAATTAATATACTATTGGGGCGTACAATTTTGTTAGGGTGTTTATTTTAAATAAACAGTTACCGTATTTGCCTTATTAGAAGAGCATCTCCAATAGAAGCACATGTAAGCCAATTCACTGAGGAATGTGCGCCCTCTTCTATTCCGTGTCAAATTTCCGTTTAAATGTTGACTGCCTTATTTAATTTCCGGGTTGGTGTATATATGGATCTGAGGCCAGGATCTGAGGTGGAGATATTCGCTCATATACGGACCCACAAATATACCAAATCGCAAAAATATTACCGCTATATATACCTATCTTGACCAGAAATAAGGTCGATACTTATACCTAAAATCCAAAAAACGAGACCCTTTTGAGGGGCACGTCCCCATTCGGCGAATTCTATGGGGTGTCATATCACTTCTTTTTTTTTTTAGAAGTGGGTAGTAATTTATCAATGTTTTTGTTTAGAAGTGTGTAGCATTAGTTTACTTTTTCACAGGTCCTTATATTCAAGAGTCGTGCGGATGCGCTCACTGGTTGCAAAAGTTGTGAGCTGGGTGTTTTTTTTTTTTGCGCTGAAAACACTTATGTTTAGAAATGTGTATATGAATAGAAAAAAAATGTTTAGAGGTGAGTATGATATACTAGAGGTTGGCTGCACACCCCTACCCTACCCCCACCCACTGGAAGTAGTCCCCCGGCTTGGGGGACAAATGCCCTTCACATTTTACTCAAATTCTATCAAGGTCGTCATGATAAGTAATTAATTAGTAATCAAGACGTTGAGTGCTAGCCAATCAGCAACGTTGTAGGCCTCTGTGATTGGACAGCAACCGTCCACTCTCGCCCGTCATGTTCGAAGCGTGATCAGTCTCATGGAATCATGAATGAATCCCGTGAAGAAAGGCTGGTGGCAAATGCCAAAGTAGCACATACGATATTTTCGTTCATATTTTGCAATTTCTCCGAGCATATGTATTCACAAACATTGAACTGAAAACGTGAAATGTGACACAGCGAGTAACGGTAACAGTGCAATACAGGGGGTGTCCCCAAATATATGAATCGAAACCACTGCAGTTCATTTGCATACTTGAATCACAAGGATCGACTGTTACAATCACACCCCGAATCACACACTACGGCAGATTACTAATAATATAAATATCAAGCCCATACAACAATAACGTTAATATTATGACTATTATGTATGCCGCGTTGGTTATTAATTTTCAGAAGTATTTTTAACAGCCAGCCAGCACTTTGGCGAAAGCACGTGAAAGCAATTCATACTTGAGCTAACCATTCTTCTGGCGGGGGTCGGATTGTAACGCTCATAGTAGATGGGGTCACACTAGCATCCAGCATGTGTTTCATTTTGATAATATGTACCTGGTACATACACTGGACTCTAATAATTTTAGTATAAACATGTATAATCATTTGAATACACTCAAATTAACATAAAAGTGTGGCAGTTGTTTAAAAATGTATAATGTGGCATCCCATCACCCCTGTATTATTTATCTATGTGGAAGTGTCTGGGTATACAATGTAAACACGGCTATCGTGCGTGATAGCTAGCCCATGTGTTCAGCTATATTACTTGGGGAAAACATAAAAAAATAGGTCATTGTGTGGACAAGCTCGTGGAAAGTTTTCGTTCGTTGGAAAATCGAAAATCTCAGACCTGGGCTTACACGTAGTTTGCACGCCGCATAATCTAGACAAAGCGCAATTTTAAAAGCCTCTTATTCAGAGTGACAACCTTGAAATCGGCGACACTGTTACGTAACCAGGCAGACTGAGCAGCTATTTGTGTATTACCGGTATTGTTCACCTTGCTTAAAATAAAGAAGACAGTGAATTTAAAGTTTGCATTAGAACGCCAGGGGCCAACGTATGCTGTGTCCTGTCAAATAGGTAATTACTCTCACTGAAACCGTACTCTTTATAGTGTCGGATTTTCTCATTATTTTATGAAATGACTTCATGACAGTCTGTGGATAATAGTGTCAATACTTCCGATGTCAGCCTTGATAAGTTTAATTATTAATAATCTGCGTATTAGTGCACAGTGTGTTGTTTTTGTGATACATATGGTTTATTTGGGTCACTGCCACGGCGACCACACAATGCCGCCGACGCCGAGGTCATGTCATACCACGGCTTGTATGCGCCTTCTCCCGTGTTCATTCATTCTGTGTATTAATAATATGCGTCATTCTATACCTAAAACTAGAGACTGTATATGGTAAACGTCAGTCATATTATTTAATTAAAAACGTCTGTCTTCTGTACTAGAACAACGTCCATGTTCATAAAGAATGAGATTGTCATTGTGTATTTAGTATAGCTTGGCGGTCCATGTTTACAACTGGCTAGTCAGACCATGGAGCTCCATGGTCAGACAGGCGAGGACACGCGATATCATGCCAGTATCGTGTTCACAATAGTATATACCAGTGTAGTGAAGTCACGTGTATACCATGCTATGGTGTGCCATATAGATAAGATAAAGAAACAATATCATTGAATAATTCAAACATGATTATATTTGACACCCAAACAGCAACATTGCCAGGTACGCCCATTTCAGATTGTATGTGGTTAGTGCTTGTTAGATCAAACCATTTTTAAGAGGGTAGGCTGCTTGCTTGAAATACAAGTATTAGGCCATACACTTTATTCTCCCTGTCATTAGTAAATATAGATAACTGACAATTTTTTTTCAAAATTTACTAAAAGGCCATTTTAAGTTTTCTTTTCTCAATCGCAGTTACTTACTCTGCACTAGACACACATGCAACTCTGTCCTGACATTTGAGACTGTATTAGTTTATACTCAATTAAATTAAACCTGTTTTTTTTTTTTTTTTTTTTTTAAATGGTACCGTATAATACTTTACTGGTATTTCCACTTGTAATTTAGTTTCTCTTTTTTCTCTGAAGGGATGCTTCAGTGAAAATAGATTAGCCGAATATAATTTTTTCCCTATATTTCACATTCAACTCATCAAAATACCCAAGAAGCTGTTTCAGCAAAAATTAATTCCAAATAAAGTATATTACGGTAATATTTTTGTGCCAGATGACAATACTTGATATTTTTTTATGTGCAAATAGCAAGAGCTAGTGCTGACACATAGTGAAACTTTGTATGTGCTTGCTGTTTCTGTAGAAGAATTATGCATAATAATTAGCTAATTTGCATACTATTTAACTGTTTGCTCAAATGGATTGAAACTGAGTATTGTATTATGCATTACTGTTTGTGTAGACTTGTGATTAATGAAATGATTGATACTAAATTATTTGTTTATAAAAGTATGCAATTTAAAGCTATTTTGCTTACCTAATAACTGTTCAGATACAATCAGAAAATGGATTGAAACTATTTCTAAGATTAGTTCCTTTGATAATATAAACTTATTCAATCAGGAAGTGAAATTCATCCTCAACTATTGTTGAGAGGTGCAACTTTGGTATTCTGTTGGATAAATTGTCTGTACAAAATTCTGAAGCCTTTATAAGTACTGTAAAATCTGTATTAGAAGCTGCGGCTTCTATTAAAATGGTACAATGCAACAGAGGGTATGCGGCTTCAATTAGAGCATCTACACATATGAGAAATTGTGAATGTTTGGTGCTCAACTGCTCAAAAAGAATGGGTGCGACTTGTATAAAAGATGCGGCTTCTAATACAGATTTTATGGTACCTCCTATCATGGCAATTGCACAATACCATCAGATAAAAGTTAATTGTATTATGATAGATTTCTTATATTTGTATGTTATATTCCAATAAATTGAGGTGATAATATCCCAATTTATGAGATACAAGAGAATTAATAATAGTCATTTCAGAAATTGTTAAAAATGTACATCTATATACTGAAAGGAAAATAGACAACATTCTCTTGTATTGCTATCATTTGTCATTTAAATTTTACACCTCACCATACGATTCCCTTTTGTGAAAATTATGACTTAGTTCACATATAAGCGAAAGCTAATGATTGTAATTGGTTTGTTGAATTGAGAGACACAATTTCCCTCAAAAACACAAAGTTGGAATAGTCAATACAGAAATAAATTTGAAATCAAAGTTACATTATTGTAATTCAATAAAACACTAACAGTATTTATTCAACGAATAGCAGATGTGACATTTGGTAAGAGAAGAAAGGCATGCACCATAGTATCTCAAAACTATTCATAATTAAATGAATGAATGTGGCTTTGCTGCACACCACATGATACTACATGTGATGGGAATTGTTGTCATGTTGTCTATACACATATAAAGCGATTTCCCCCCATGCACATCATCACTTTATATAACCACTGTTGGTGATATAACCACTCAGTAAGCACTGAATTCAGAAAATGATCTGTATATATTTCATCACTGATTTCGCACTGAATGTGGGTCCAGTAATCACTGCTTTTTTGCTACTACAAACACTCCCATGGTCTCCATGTATTGTCACTGCTTCAAATATTGCACAGTTATTTTTTAGTGCTGGCTTGCAAAGTTAATGCCCGACTTTCACCTCTCCACCAAGGTCACAAAATTTCAAAGGCTCACGTAATTTGCATTACATACAGCATTACTGTATGCTCGACACACCATATGCCAGACAGAAACAATGGATACACAATTATGGTTACTGATGAGTTTGTTTTGTGATTGAATTCAACCTGGAGGCCATGTTGGTTTTATTTGTATGTGTCCTTTGAAACCATTTCTCAGATGTGCTTTATCTCATTTGGATACGAATACCAAGGCACCACACATGGTGTTTTGTTATTTGATTCAAACTTTCAAACTGGTTTGTGTGTGGTATATAATTTAGTGTGATATCAATGAAGGCTTCCCAATGGTGATGTGGGAAATCCAGATTTATAGCATATCTTTGTATGTATAAAGTTTAGTTAAATTAAGGTGTACATGTAACCACCATCTACCAGTATTTTGTACTGCTCTATTTTTATGTTGTTGCCTATACTGTACTGGTATACATATCTAATTGATTTCATTCATTGTTGTTTCATTCTACCTTTCACAGCCAAAGTGTTCAAAGCAATTACTGTGGAATACTTTATTTTCGCTGGAACTAATTTTCGCTGAAAAGGCTTTTTGGGCGTTCTTTATAGAATTTATTTTCACAGATTTTTCAATGAGTTGAATGTGAAATATAGGAAAAAAAATATATTTGCTGGATTTTATTTTCACGGAATCATCCCTTCATCGAAAATAGCAAAAATAAATTCCAAGCGAAAATAAAGTATTCTACAGTATATCTGTATGTTTTTTTTCACAACATTGCTTTAAGTAGTGGGATAGTTTTTTAGTCTTGTATATAAAAAAACTTTGGCATTTGCTCTATGTACTGTCATATAAATTTTGTTAAAAAATGTGTTTCTTGTGAAAAATGCATGATTTTCTCCTCTCATAACAAATGCAAAAGTTCATTAATAATTCTGATTGTTAAACACACAAACAACAAGCTTCAAGTAGGTGTAAAGGAGAATTAGCTCTTGTGTTTGTTAAATACAAACACCTTTAGATAAGATTACAATGGTCATTTCCAAAAGCAAAAAGTTTTCTGAATTCAGCCCAAAAAACCCAACTGATATAACAGAAATGTGAGTTTTCTTTCCATGGCAATGCTTCAAATTATTAATTGACAATTTAATTGACTGTGAGTGTAAGAGATAACCTTGCCAAAAGTACAGATCCATACAAGTGCTGTTTTCTCCACTTATGTTTCAGAACAACCTTTTACAAATATATTGGTTTGATAGCTTTTGAATTGTTCCAATTACAGTTCTCATAAATTTTTCTAACAAAAAGACTATCTTGCTTTCTTAATTGACCTTATGAATTGATAGACTCAGTCCAAAATGTTGATTACCTCAAAATTA